TCAACACACAGTGGGGGCAGAGTCGAGATATAACCTTATAAAATACGAGATCTTGACCATAGACCCCCAGCTGCTGTTGAGTAGTAACCTGATTAATACCAAGTGCTTCCTGATTATGAAAGATTAACTCAAAACTGAGGTGGTAGTAATGTGAACACCTACAGTATGGCCACAAGGTCCACTGGGTGCTGCTGGCTTGTCTTGCTAACCTCCACAAATCTTCCCATAGGTTCTCGGTGTCCCCATGCGATTATATATTTTGAAAGATTTTATAAAAAATTAACAAAATAAACTCTACAGACGCTTGCTTCTTGACGTTATTCCATAATTCCACAAATAAACACAACAGTGGTGCGTTGTGTCTGCTGGCCAGCGCGCGTCCGGGTTAACACTTTAGTATTAAGTGTTTCTCAACCTACACTTGTGACACTTCATGTTAACTCTTACCTTCCTGGAAGTCTTTGTGGAGCGTAGATTAGTAAATTCTGAGAGATTTATTCCGAGTCATAAGTACAGGTGTAGATAGAGCCACGGATACATAGTAATGAGTCATTTAACGTTAATTATTATGAGGGCCGATATGAATAACACAAAGAATAACATCTCACACGCCATCACAAATATCGTTGTATGAGTCACCATGCAAGTAATGTGAGTCGGGTGGTGTACAGGTGTGTCAGGGTGGGTGACGTGTCTCTAACCTCACGTCAGAGTTTTAAGGATAAATATTAATTATATATTCATTGGGTATTATTCTGACCTTGCATCGTTATATGTTTCTCAGAGTTATATTACTGGCGCTATGATTGGTGGTGTCAAGCATATACCCGGTTCAGCATGACACTGATTCACTACTATAATCACAACAGACTCCATTAAGCAGTAACTGAATAGGTGATTGTATTTTAAGCTTCGTCTACTACAGATACAATCAGTAGCTGGGAGCGCGCCACACATAAGGGTTCAGTGCAAGCTCCCAGCCTCTGATGGTACAGTACAGTACAGTATCTGTGGTCGTCACTCAGGGATAAGATAAACGAGGCTTAAAGTACCTGGATCACGTGAAATTTAGACATCGTAGGTTATATCACCTGATTAAAACATCCTATCACTACCTGGGGGGGTTAGGTTAGGTTTGGTTGTGTAATCATGAGGTGAAATAAGCTTGAGTGTGTGATCTTCACGTGATTCAAATACCTCCTGGTTATCTGCGAGGAGTCACCGTCATAAGAGTACAATGATCAGTTCTTGCAAGTAAACGTTCACTTGGGCTCAACATAATACCCTTTCGTGTTATGTAGGTAAAAGCCGCTTTTTTATGTACTATATTCCCATTTTAGGAAAAGTTGTTTTTATTAATGTGAAATAATTTTAACACAAGATTACGAATGTTTACTATTACTTATTTTAATGTATAGTATTAGGTTAGGAGACTAAGGTTATGTATTACCACACAAATTCCAGTTACCTTTAGTGTGTGTGGGAAGCGACTTGTGGGTCTGTCTACGTAACGACCTGTATCCTGTAGGTCTTCTGATATTTGTGTTGATGTGAATAATAATATTTGATCTGTATTGATAAGGTTAATGGGATTTCGATAATGAACATTGAATATCTAATAAGTGGTGTTATACTAGGGCAGTGAACCAGATCTGTGGTTAACCTTTTGTCATGCACAGTAGAACTATCACATAATGGGTGTAATTGTTTATCAACCACAACAAAAGGACGATAATTATCAGTGTGTGTGTGTTTTGCTGCTTCCATTGTACCATGTAATACCAACCTGCCCCCACACATCAAGAGGATCCCTGGTAGATATACGTAGTCTGTCAGCTGGCTCCAGGGTTGTGTTTTTCGACCACCGCCCACAGTCACTGGCCGGTAGTATGACGCTCTAATATCTGATAGGTTCCAAAAATACACTGATTTGGACTTTGATATGTTGTTGGTTTACGTGAGGGGTGGTGATTTATGTCAGCAATGTTAGGTAATATGAAGATAAAAGATTACTGCTGTGTGGATGAAGGTTACTTAAGAGTAGATAATATGGCCATCACTTCAGGGTCACATACACACTTTTATAGGGGTTAAGGCTACATAATGTGAGAGGTCATTGTTCCCTAACCTAATTGATCTAACATCCCTAACCTAGCTTCGACTAACCTCCCTAACCTAGCTTCGACTAACCTCCCTAACCTAGCTTCGACTAACCTCCCTAACCTAACTTCAACTAACCTCCCTAACCTAACTTCAACTAACCTCCCTAACCTAACTTCAACTAACCTCCATAACCTAACAGATCAAACCTAATCTAACTTCACCTAACATCCCTAACCTAACAGACCAAACCTAACCGAACTTTACCTAACTAACCTAACCAATCTAAAATAACTTAACCTAACCTGAACTAACATGACCTTCACACGAATGACCTAACATGTGTAACTGACGCCAAGAACATGCATATAATCTGCCTTTGTACTGTACTTAAAAACTATATCTGCAAAGTCACTTGTATTATTATTAGATCAAGGTCGTGTGTGTGTGTAACCGAGCAATATCAGGCTCAGGTCAGATTGTGTTGTACAAGTCACAGCCAAGATCTAGTGACAGCTTAACTACTGACGGATGACAGTTACCTCATTCTTGTAACTAGGATACAGATACGAAGATTAACCTGATGATTCAACACCCTAACCTAATATAATTTAGCTTAGTTTAACCTAATGTAATACAACCTAAGGTATAGTGTAACCCAAACTGACCTAATCTAATGCGGTATAACCTAACCCAATCTAAATTAATCTGCTCTCACCTTTCACCTCGCCCATCTCCAGGTAATGGAAGGGTGTCTAGTGTTGAACTCTAAACGTTTCTGCATTATGCACTGTATTATGAATTATACATGTTGCATAAAGGGAGAGGAATAGACCAATGTTAAATGTGTGTTTCCTGACAACACTGTATCTATGTTGATGAACTTATCGCATGTATACTATGGAGATATTTAGGCGATTAAGTTTTATGGTAATGGTCATGCAAGACTGTTTTGTTTGTACAATATACAGTACATTATACGTTACACACACAACCTGGCCTGGAAGATAAGAATATATATACAATGGATAATTCATAACATAAAGAAAATATATTTTAAAGAAAGATGTGGCTCCTTGTTGCTGTCAGCAGTATAAGGTGTTAACATATGCCACCCAATACTCCAAGATTATTCTCCTACCAAATATGCTTAAATGTGTACAGTCGCGGCCAGAATGTACTGTGATTGTCCTTAGCTGGTGAACGCTACTTCTCATTCTAAATTATATCAGTTTGTTAAGTGTTGGTAATGTATGCAGGTAATTTTATACTAACAGTAATTACTAACGCCATTTATGGAACACAAGGAACTGTACCTAGTGTGGCCGCTACCGCATTTGTTCGTCCTCAAGTTTTCAGCTGTAAAGTCAGGCGGCCATTTACAGCTGGTTGTACTTACCATTTATTGTAATCTTGAACATATCTAAGTGAGGAAAGATTAGTGTGTTGTGCACGAGTGATGAATGTTTATGAGGAATAACATACAGCTTGTGTCGAGCATGTGATGACAAGCATTTTGTACCAGTGTGACCGGTCACTTACCTCCCTCACATAGTTGTCATCAGTTGGTGTTACAGTACAGTTAGATATGTGTCTGGGAGAACAGTAGTGATGTGTTGGAGCAGCAGTAGTAGTAGTTTAATTTTACACCTGAAAAAGGTGAGACTTGTGGCGGCATATGGCAGCAACACTAATGACGGGAATCACAGCTGTGGGAGTGAAGCAAGTACAGTATTTACCGCGCTACTTGTGTTAACTATGAAAGTGAAGTTAAACTTAGGTTATTGACCTATATATATATATATATATATATATAGTGTGTGTATTACTTTTTGCAAACTACTGTACCCTGTATTTCTCATATGAAAATCGTAATAATAAAGATAATGAGTCTCGTAGAAGACATTTCTATCGGGGTAACGTGTTAAGTACCGTGGTGCAGGTTGGTCTGTGTTGAAGTACAGGTAGTTTTATCTACACCCAGTAGTAACTGATGATACCACCAGTCATCTTGTGATCATTGTGTACTAGGATTCAGGACGAAGGCTTTACACTAATATGTCCCGTACTTTTTTAATATTTCATTTGGCCAAAGGACTTTAATTACTCCATTATGGTAAGTTAAATAAAAATATTAAATGTGATACAGTACTCAGTGCAAATGTTTAACACCAAATGGTTGCACCCCATCTGGCAGGCACACAAGTAGACAGAGACCACCACATGTTAGCAGTATCACTACCCGGTAGGTGAATAGCGGGAACATTCCAGTGGTAGGAGCTCCGGGGGGAGGACAAAGGGTCAACACCTGGCACAACATTATTGTGGTAATCTGTGTGTGTAAGGTTCACCACCAGTGCCAGCGTGTACTGTATCTGTGATAGTGAACATTCCGGTGATTACCACTAATCCTTAGATAAGCACTTGGCAATACTGTACCTATTTATAGTATGCAGTATTAATGTTGACTTATAATGTTTGATTTCAGATGAGGATGTCACCTGATTTTAGTTAGGATGATTCAGAATGTGTTTTATTATAATTTTAATAGTTTATATATTTTTATTTTTTATTTACTTTTTTTGGGGGGTGGGGGTCTGTACTTAATATTAATAAGACCACTTACTCAATCTTCACATTTCACACAAGTCGGTAAAAATGGTCTTTCTCTAATAAGCAATTATTTTTTTTGCCAGATATACTGTAAGCAGAATGAGAACAGTACTGTACAGCACAGATAATTTTCCTTACAGTCAACCTCATACTTTTTTCTGTCTCCCACCTTCAGTGCCATGTCGTATAGTACAAATACTGTACTGTTTTTTTTCCTGCAATACAGTACTAATAAGGAGGTACAGTAACATCCTGAGTGTCTTCAAATTATTTTATTTGCCTTGCAGGAAGCCCACAGTATGGTCCACAATGCCAACCAGCGTGCAGCCAGTGCAGAGAGGTCACTTCGGGAGGCTGAGATGCAGGTGGAGGTGCTACAGGCGGAGGTAACTGCCCTTAAAGCCCTGGTCATCACCTCCACGCCAGCAGCACCCAACCCTCACCTCCACCCTCAGCTCATCACCAAGAGTGTGGCAGAGACAGGTGAAGGAAACAAACTTTGTTATGTATGTTAAGTGATGAGTTATAATACTAAACTAGGCTACAGGGAAATCTTTAGAATACCTTAACTAAAAACAAAGTACAGTACAGTACTTGCCTCACTATCAGTACACTTGGAAAGTTTTTTATACAGTAGCTATGAAGGCTGTTATTTGCAATGGGTTATTTGTATTATAATAAAATTGTGCAGTACGGTACACTACTGTACTGTAATTGTTTGAAACAAGAAGATGACATACAGTACCATGTTTAGGACAAGGAGATTTCTTGCATTAGTATATTGGTTAAAAGTCAGTACTGTATGGTACAGGTGTTAGAACCCTGAAATACTCTGTTGATAAACCTAGATGATGGGTGTTAGGATTTAGTAATATTTTTTATTCTTTATTTTTACGTATGTATATCGCCACCATTGTTTTAGTTGTGGTTAGATGACAAATATCTGACTTGTTAAAACTTGTCTGAATGAGTGTAGGTTCGTCACTGGTACCTTTGATGCAGCTGAGTGAGGAATCAGGTAATCTCACGGCATGTCACCTTTGATAGAGTCGTAGATTGGTTGTTAGTTGAGTTCGTCACAGCTGTCCTGGATTGTACTTGTAATTATCTTAGCTTGTAATTTAAGCAAGACACACCTTCAAATAATACAGTATTGCATGTATAACTAAACTAAAACAAAAATTCCAGGGAAAAAAATATTCCAAAGGGGTCATCGTAAATCACCATCAGATTTTGACCTAAAATACGGCCGAGACACGACACCTCCAAGTTCTCCACTGAAGGAAAGCCGAATAAATGATGCAGCGGCTCTATCACAGTTCCCACTGGACCCTGAGTGTTGGGAGGTGAGTCTGTCTTAATGTTTCAGTATTCTTTCTGGATTGTTTTATTAAACAGAACATACACTCACAAAACCATAACCTCGCCCTATTAACTGCTTTAAAAATCTGCTGTCACATAGTATTACATTACCATGCTTCAGTGGTTGGAAGGGTAAATTAATGAGAAGGAATATAGCAGTACAGTAATTTACCTGAAAGTTGAGTGGCTCAGTTATAGCAGAAATGGAAAAATCAAAATGGCATGGTTTATAGTTTTAGTATAGATTACGTGGTGCCACATCTCATAAAATATGCCAGTCACTGTACTTGTTATAAATGGAGGCAACTTTACATGTTTATAAAAGACAATTTAATCAAGGCTACACCATGAAAAAGGAATCTCTAGCCTTTTAGAACAAATCAGTCGAACACCAATGATCCATATTTAAATTATTTGGCCACAAGTTTAGGAAAATATGGATACGGTAGTCATCCAGCAGCCTCCTGTTGGAATACTGAACACATACTGAATTTCAATCAAGACCAATATTAGAAAGGTAGTTTAGGTGCAGTAACAAGCTTTAACAAGTTTCTGCTGATAATCTTAGCTCAAAATAGTTCCTCTCCTCATACAGTGTAATTCTTGCAGTAAGTCAGAATAATCGTGTGTTTGTTGGTGTGTGTAAGGAAGGCTCCATATGAGACTCAAGAAAATACAGCAAAAATTAGTCTTCTTTTCAGTAATTATTCCATTCTTATGTTAGATGGATTTACTAATTTTACTGTTTAGCCTTATGTTTTATTTATTATTTTGGGGACATTAGCTTTTATCTTAATCTTATCTTTCACATGAAACAGTACATGCAATATACTTGGAAATTTATCTTCATTTTGTAAATACGGTAAATTCATTAAAGTATCTCTGAAATTCACAGTTTTTTGTATTGGCATTTAGCTGAAAATTCCAAGACATGTCTGTCATGGTTTTTAATTTCTAGGTTCCTACTTACAAATATTCTGTATGGATATTGTAGTGCTCAAAGTAGGCTGCCCTTGTTACATCAAGAAATATTTCATTTCAACATCCTAGCCGTACACTGATATACTGTAGTGTGTTCTTTTAATTCTTGCATTTCAAATTAGGTCTTGATGTAATAGATAGTTCCAGTTCTTGTTAAAACTCAGTACTGTAGTTACGGCTCATATTAGACATCTAAGTAATATCACTTTTTTCTTCTCTTCTTTCTTCTTGTAGGTGGATCCAGTTGTACATAAAGAGTTTATAGCTTGGAAACAGAATCCAACGTTAGACCGGTCAGATACCTTTATGCAGCGTATATATGAGGAAGACATAGACCTGTGTCTGGCGTTTCCTAACTCCATGCTGGCACACCGTGTCCAGAGGGCCATAGAGGATAATGCTGTGTATATTGAGGAAGTCAACCCACGACAAAAGAGTAGTTGCCCGAGGTGAGTGTGAAGCTTCTCAATGGCCTCATTTGATTTTTTATTTTACTTTTAAATGTTTATTACAATTACAGAAAATTATCAAAACTAATGAGATCTACTGGGTACATAATTTCTATATACTGTACTGGACATTTATTTATTAATAGGTAAAGCCTGTAAATGGTGTACTGCAAAAGTCAAGCTTTAGGTGACATTAGTACAGGGGGTTGTTATTTGTGGTAGTAAGATTGTTTCTTTGTCTCTTATCTTACACAAGATGAGATTTCAATTATTCATAAGAAACCCAAGTTGTAGTACTGTACTGTACTACCGTATACAGTGCTTGAGAAGTTGTATTGAAATTAGGTTATGTACCAGGTATACATAAAATAACTATTTTTTTAATTCTGTATGAATAATTTCCTGAAGGAGACTAAGAGACATAGATTTACGTACAGTTTAGGTTTACTTTATAGTATTTGATAAAGGAATACAGTGACCCCTCGGTTAACGAACTCAATCCGTTCTAGAAGGTCGTTCGTTAACCGAAAAGTTCGTTAACCGAAACCATTGTTTCAATGGGTTTTTGGGTAATTGGTTCCAGCTCACCGAAAATTTCCTAAATTCAACAAAAATGGTAGAAAAGTTCACTTACTTTGAGGTGTGTTTGTAGAAGGCTCCTGGATGATGATGATGGGATTTTGAATGGGGGTGGAGGAGAAGGAAGAAGAGAAGGCATTGGGGTGGAAGAGAAGTCACCCCATGGTGCCATTTCATCCATAAAATTTTAGCTCTCTTGGTGTAATTCAAGATTATTTTCTTTAAATCAACACTGCACTGCATTATATATTGTCAATATGTAAAATGTATTTCAAAATGACCAATAATTTGCTTGGAAACACAGAAAAAAAGTGTTTAGCTGAAGAGAGTCTCAAGCAAGATGTTACCTCCAGTGAAAACAGAGAGAGACTAACGCCTGTTTGCTGTGTTAAGAGGCTGGATGCCGCGCATTAAACTAGTCACTTTACCTTCAATTATGTTCAATAATCGTTAAAATGACAAAAAAATTGAATATTAAACTTTTAAAATTATTGAATAGTATAAACTTCTTGATATTTACTAAAATAGTAAGGAATTTAAGCCCTAGAACCGATTAATGTATTGGCGGACTGATACTAAAAGCTGGTTGCCCAGTGCAAGCGAAAACATGTCGGTCGTTAAGAAATTCGTTAACCGAATTTTTGTTCGTTAACCGAATTGAAGATCCTTATGGAAGGCAGTTCGTTAACCGAAATTTCGTTAACCGAGGCGTTCGTTAAACGAGGGGTCACTGTAATTTTCACCGGAACGGGTCACATTAAATCACTTCATTCTGTGAAGACAGAAAATTAGTATTTTTTCAGTGAGGGTAATAAGGTAGGTGATGAAATAGTAGGGGGAGTGGTGTTGCATAAATAATCTTCCTGTTAATGCTGCCTGAAGCTGGAGTTATTTATTACAAAAGAAGCTTGATACAAGATGTGCACCATTTGTAAAAAATCTTCATATTTATATTTCTTTGTGTTCTATATCATGGCTTTAGTGAGAGTGTGTGTGAGTGCATGCATACGTGTACAGGTATGTGTATTTTTTTTTTACGGGGATTAGCCCACCTGGGCACAGATCACTGACCCACATTGGGGCCTGGGGGGCAAAAATTTATAATAAAAAATACAAAATTGGAAACCAAATAATAATGATAGTAATAATAATATACAGTAACAACACTGTACTGTAATAATAATAATAATAATAAAGAACCATGAAGAAATACAAAAAAAAAATCAAAATCAAAAGCGAGAAACAATATACGTAGTGTACGGGGTATGTTGTTTTGTCAATAGTAAGAGAAACAATTGAGACCCTGCAATTGTGTGTAAATGAGGCAGAAAGACAGATCAGCAACCTGGGACTTGGTCACAATATTCGTGATGCCATATGGCAGCAGGGTCTACCATTAGACAATACATTATTCTTACAATATCTTCCCAGGCAGTAGTACCTCCCAGTTTGATAGCTGCCTACTACCTATTGGTATGTGTGTGTGTGTGTGTTTTCAGTTGGTAGACCATTTGCCTCACAAGTGAAAGGTCACAAGTTAGATTTCCAACTGTTGTGGAGGATTAGGTTTCCTCCTTGTACAGTTGCCAGCAAAAGTTCTCCCACAGCCCTGTGTAGCAAGTTTGTGGGAGGACTTTTACTGGCAACTGTACATGTGCCCTTGTGCACACAGTGATAAACAAGTACGTACTGTACAGGTACCACATTAGGTGCACTTGCTGGTGGTGGAACAACCAATCAGTAGACTTGCATCTTGCCAAAGTGGTGGAATAACCCAATAACTGATGAATCCTAAGCATTAGGAGAATAATACCAGTCTTGCCACTCTATACCATAACATATTGGTAGTCCTGGAAATTTTTTAAATGTGACAAAGTTCCAAATTCTCTCATGCCTAGTCTCCTTTGACAAAATATTTATGTACAGTTACATCCATTTCTAGTCTTAATTTCCATGCTCTGGTGACACAGCTGCACTACACTCCATGTGCAGTGAAAATTCCTGGCCACAAGCTGGCTCCCCTACTGCTGCCACTTGATGGTGGCTTGCCATAGGCTGAGACTTCAAGCACACTTGTCACTTTCTGTTTAACACTAAATCAAGGTGTTAGAGGGTCCACCAAGTGTAGATATAAACCTTTGCCTTTGAATGTCACAAATGATTCCCAACCCCATGGAGGAGACCAGCACAGATTAAGACTAAAGCTCTTCCCAATTTTTTTTTTAATTAAACTGGTTTATGTGTTGAGAAACAGATGAATAGCACTACTGTGGTGTTGCCTCTTATAAATTATTGACTTAATGAAGCTGTACAGTCAGCAAAAAAAGTACCTACACCCCCATGGTCTGTTGGAACTGAAAATGTGTTGATGTATTGGATAGATTGGCACCTTTGACTACAAAATCCATCCTCATACAATGTTTTTTGATGAAAGTTTGTCAAATAATGTTTTGAATGACATAAACCATACATGTGCAATGTACAGGTATTACTTTAGTTATAAATAAATATTGATGTATTTGTGCAATATGGTAGGAGGATTGTTGTAAACCACAACTTTTTACTTTTTTATCCTCTTCGCCACTGATCGGCTTGTTAACCGCTTGGGCGATCGGTCACGTCTCTGATTACTTTTCCTTTTCATTTATCTTCTTCACCAAAAGATCGGCTCGTTAGCCGCCCGGACGATCGGTCACGTCTCTGTCACACACTGTTGGCAAATACTGGGCATGCACCGGCTCCTGAATGTACCTGAACCCGCTCCAGTGTTGGTCAAGTCTTGTCTTGAAAGAGCTCACACTCAGTGCCGTCACAACACTTTCTGGTAGATTGTTCCAAGAGTTTACAACCCTCACTCCGAAAAAGTTTGCCCTCACGGTTTTCTGGACTAGCGGCTTCTTCAATCTTGAGCTGTGACCCCTTGTGGGGCGAGCGTCCGCCAGCTCCAAGTAAGGACACTCAACTGAGTAGTGCCCCCTGAGATGCTTATACACCTCAACTAGTTCCCCCCTTGCCCGTCTGTAGTATAAGCTAGGCAAGTTCAGGCGCTCCAATCTCTCAGGGTAGCTGAGGTGCCGAAGTGCAGGCACCAGTCTGGTGGCCCTCCTTTGAACATTTTCAACCAACTGACAGTCCCTAGCATATCTCGGGGACCAGATGGGGTGACAGTACTCCAGATGGGGAAGCACTTGACTCCTGAAGATCGTTACGAGGGACGGACCGTCTAGATATCTGAACGACCTTCTTATAAGACCCAATAATTTATTTGCCTGATTTACCTTCTTCTCGCAATGGCCCGAGAACTTCAGCTCATTGTCAACATACACACCTAGGTCCTTCTCACACACAGTCTCAACTAGTGCAGTTTCTTCATCCCATTGGGACATATGATACGCCTCCTTACCGTTGGTACGCCCCAGGTGCATCCTCTTACACTTCGTGACATTGAATCTCAGCAGCCATTTCTTCGACCATTCCTGGATCCCAGAGGTCCTTCTGCATGTCTTCACAGTCCGCTTGGTTCTTAATTTCCCGAAATAACTTGGTGTCATCGGCAAACATTTGTATGGAGGAGTGTACAACGTCAGGCATGTCATTTATGAAACAAGATGAGTTGCCTTTCATAAATACAGTACTGTACTGTATCATGTTTGGGAGAAAATCAAGAGAAAGTAAATTCATTGACTAAAATACAATGTGAATACAGTTTGTATGGTTTGTTTATACTGTATTTTGTTTACAGTACGGTCTCTCATCGACTTAAGACATATTCGACTTACGACGGCCATGGTCGTATAAAATATTTTTCACATTACGTATTTTCGAGTCCCGGCGTTAGTGATCGCGCTGTGTACTGACAAAATTTTCCTTTGTAATTCCTTTTAAATGGCTGGCAAGCGTAAAAGTGAGAGTTCTCGTGGTGCTGAGATGAAAAAGAGACACCCATTTTAGAATTTCTATGTATTATTTTTGCCTTTTCGACTTACAACCTGGTCGTCGAGACGGAACCCCGTCGCAAGTCGAGGAGAGACTGTATAGTGTTATTAAATCATTAATTATATTTATATTTTAGGAAAAATACTTGTTATTAGGATATAATTACAGTATTTTGTTTGAGGGAAATAAAAAAAAAATGCATAGGTATTCTCCGTTATTAAAAGAACGACCGTGGAGCAATATTGGTAGTCTAATACAGTATTGGGTACAGAATAGATATGGAATTTTCATGATATGCAGTTATAGTAACACTGCCATGCAAGAGGGGCGGACTAATACATGCCAACTATAACCACAGAACTGTTTTAAGCCCTTGTCCGGTGTTTTAGTTTGTTATGTATGTTTTTTGTTGTTTTTTCTTCTTTTTTGTACTGTACAAATAATCCATACCAGATTATAGAGAAATATAGTTCTGGGACCAATCATACCAGACTAGAGAGAGGCTAGTGAGTAGGAGGAGCATTGCCTGTGTACCAATGGAAAGTGTGAAATAATCCCCACTGCTGTAAGACTTAGATTCTAAATACTGGGGTATTGTCAAAATTCTCAGCACTGCGAATGGATGAAATAAAGTTTGGTCATAGAGATTGTGGGTTCAAGAGAGTAAATGTGTAAGGAAGATTTTTAATATGGTGTTTACCTTGAATATTTGTGTTGTTGACCATTTCTGCCAACAACATTTGTACTGGAAGTTACTAAAAAATATTTGTGAGCTGTTCACCAGTTCTTATGTAGCTCTGCAGAGAAGAATGTGAGGAAATGGCAGGTTCCTACTGACAAAATGCACAGGTAGCCATGTATGAATATTAGGGCACCTGAGTAATCATGGAAGGTGAGAAAGAAATACCAGCTGGTGCCACGAACTGCATAAAATCTAGATGTAAACTTTTATCTGTGCAAAGTCTAAGTGTTTACTTTATACTGTATAGTCATCTCTATAATACCTTGTAACCTTAAATTAGCTTTTGTTTTGAGATTTATTATAAAATGATAAACTACCACAATCCTTATTGAGATCCTGTGTATGGTCTCTTTTTCAGAGTTGACCCAGATGAAACCAGGTTACTATTAGTTCCATCTTGTTGTTTAGCTTGTTAACCAGCTATGCATTCTCCCAACCCTCCCTTCTGCTCTGAATGTTGTATGACCAGTGGATTGCACTAACGACATGACAGTCCTATTATCCCAGCAGTTGTCAAATAAACAATAGCATTTTGATTGTACGAAGCCAAAATATTACTGTAATGTGTTTGGTTGTTTTATAAAACGTGTATGTGTGGTTTTGTTGTGTTTATCGAATGGTTTAAGATTCTTGCCTTCCTGTGAATTTTATTATGCATTGTACAGTGCCCATCTCCATATTCCAGTAAGGAATGTATTTTAAAAATTTATAGATCCTTCATGCATGAAGTTTGCATTTGCAAGAAAACCCATTGTTTGATGCCTTTCATAAAGCCTTGCATATTCATTACGAGTAGCAGAATTAATAATGTGCCTGTGTATAAGTACAGTACAGTATTGTGCTCCCGTAGGTCATAAGCTTGGTACTGTTGAATGATATATTTAGTATATGTACTATTATGTGATATGTCATCAAAAGTAATTGAAGCTTATGATAGGTTTCTTACATATCTGAAAAAGTGTTGTATTTTTAGGTAAATTATCCCAGCAAAGTTCCATGGCAAATGATTTGAGACTTGTTGAGTTTAACAAGGAATTTCATAAAGATTAGAATAAAATATTGTATTCCTTACACATTCCTACAGTACTTAATAAACAAGGTATGACTGGGAATGATTAGTTCAGTGGTGGTATTTGAATCCCACCCCAAAAAATAAGGGTTTGCCAGCAGCTAGACAGGGTTAGTGGTACAGTATGTACCTTACTTGGTGTGATGGACTTAGAGCTGGTCACTCTGTCATGTCAGAAGGTATAAAGGCTAATCTGACTAATAGCTGTGAATTCCCACACTGCAGATCAGATATTTTGTAATTATTAATATCTGTCAGGATTATCTTACTAGAATTCAAAATTTATTATTTTTTTTTCTTCAAAATATTAAAGTACATATATTGTTTGAGTTTTTAATGTGGATTATTTTATAATTACACAGGAAATGTGTGCTGTTGGATGTTCCTCGCTTCTGCAAGTATCGTTTCCGACTTGGAGAGAGCGATGACAACTGGTACTATATCTCACAGCTGGCCAGAAATAGGGTAAGAGAGCAAAGGCAATAATCTAAATGAGCTGCTTGTAAGGTTACTGGAAGGCATTCCATTGGTCATATGATTGTAGTTGTTTTTGTAGACCTGCAGGAATGGTGCTGGAGTGCAGATAAGTTTTTTATACAAAATATTGTATGTGTCTAACATCTCAAAATTTAGTAATGTTTGTGTTCTGATACACTGATAGTTCTTTTAGTAGAGGATCATTAAGAACACTTTATTATGAAAGAAACAAAAGTGCCTTAAATTTCATCATCCAGAGTAATTACTTTAAGAAAATGATAAATTTTAAAGACTTAATCATTAACTGGCTAACAACTGAAATATCCCCAAGCCCTACCCACTGAGGCAACAGCCAGTCAAGGCACTTCAGAGTGACACACTTTTGTACTCAAACCACTCGGTAAAATCATGCTATTACAGTACATGAATAATTGTTGGGGTTACATGTTGTCCTCTAATGTATATGGTCAGGAATATTGACACAGAAAATTCTGTTTCAGATTATTGCCATCTGTGACTTTCTCAACTACTTAAGATATATTAAACTTGGTCTAGTCAAGAGTTCAAGTAAGTGTAATTTTCTTTATTATGTTAAATACACAGTACTGATAAGGTTAAATAGCTGTCTTCATTCTAGGTGTTTGTTTTTTTGCTGTTATCCGGTGAGTCTCGTCTAGGAACACCATGTTGAATTGTTATGTACAGTATTGTACTGTACCGTGATTTCAGGCAATCTTCCTGATCACTTAAAGTAATAGTACCCAAAATAAGTCATTTTACAGTTATACACTTTTCTGTTCTTGTCTTTGTGTGATGTTCTTGCTCCCTTACCAGATGATGTTATGATACCATTCAAACAGTTCTCTCACACACATGGTTATGCTAACTTAAGTGAGGTAATGTGTGACCTTTTTCATTAGTACAATAATTAAAATATTAATAATGCCTATAATTAATTGATACACTCACATGTATTCCGACTTTGGGAACAATTTTCCGAGGGGCACATTATCCAGAAACTTCTGAGAAAATTTTCCCATTACCTGGAAAATTTCGGGGATGGGGGAGTTTTTTTTCCGGGTTTGAGAAATGAAAATTAGGCGCATTTTCTGGAAATTCCGAGAAAATTTTCCGTTACCTGGAAAATTCTGGGGATGAGGGATATTTTTCCGGGTTCGAGAGATGATGTAATGGGCAATTTCTGGAACTTCCAAGAACATTTTTCTGTTACCCGGAAAATTATGGGGATGGGGTATTTTTTTCCGGCTTTGGGAGAGTCGTCTCGTCACCTGGAAATCTCTCATTGCCGGAAGTGTTCTGCAGCAATTGTTCTGGCAAATGGGGATATCACTGTATATATGTAAAGTACAGTACAGCACAATACAGGAGAAAACAGATGTACCTGGTTAAAACTTGCATTATTTTATAGGTTTACACTAGATAACATTATAAATGATTATACAGTACTCACTAAAATGTTATGTTGCCTTCTGCATGAAGAATGGCTGGTGTTAGGCACACATAGAACTACAGCTACTCCTCGACTTACGACCACCCGGACATACGACCGCCCCAGTCGTACCAAATTGTTTTCAAATTATGTATTTTCGAGTCCCGACATTAGTGATTGCTCTGTGTACTGACAAAATTTTCATTTGTAATTCCCTTTAAATGGCTGGCAGGCTTAAAAGTGAGAGTTTTGTGTTGCTGAGAAGAAAAAGAGACACCCATTTTGGATTTTCTATGTATTATCTTCACATAGTGTATACTATACTGTACTTACATTTGTTTTTCAATGTTACAGTAACAGTATTCATTTTACATTTACATCCTATATTCAGTATTTTCCCATCATTCCTCATCTCCTATACTTTCACAAAATATTATTTTAAATTTTATATGATATTCGTCATTAAACCCTACAGTGTAGTACATCAGATAACCTTGTCTTCTACTGAATTCAGAAATTTTTTCAGTAGGTTCTGCTCCTAACATCTTCATCATGTCTGAATAAGGACAACTGCTTAATCCACTTTATTTTCTGCAGTTCATGACGTGTACTGGGAGATCGTGAAGCTTCGACGCCAGATGGCCCTTGCTCGTCTAGGGTTTTGAGTTTCCTCAGTATTTGATTTTTGAAGTCTTAAATTAAATCATTAAAAGAATGCTTGAGGAGTTTACTGTATTGACACAGCAAATGGATATCAGTATAAGTACAGCACTTGTGCATCAAGATACAGTATATCTTTATGCTGTAGTAATCATGGACAAGAAAATTGGTGAGATACTCCTCTTGACATTGTGAAACTTGTGATAAATGCCAATATTTACATGATATGTAAAAATACCTGATCCTTTGCCAGTGTATGGTATTATGGACAAAGCATAACATTAATAGTGGAATATGGAACTTACTTTAAGTTGGATGAAATTAGAGTGGAAACATCAGTGAGGTGTAATGAGATCTGTTTTACCATTAATCTTGATCTTTTCCTTGTACTACTGTACTCTCAGTGTGCTCGATTTTTATACAAATATATTGTGACTTGTTAGTTTATTGTTATATGTAAGTAGAGTTCGTATCTGATTACATATATTAATGTGATAAATTAATGTTTGGTAAACTTCATTGTTTAATAAATATGTTAATAACATCACTTTCAAAGTAACTTTTTTTGGTAGAACTCGGGATGATGATAACATTGGTAGTACTATCAAGTCATTCATTATACAGTCTGTGATGCATGGATGATGAAGTGAATTTTACAAGTTTCCTCAGATTATTTACCAGAAGCTCAGTTTTTATTCTTCCCCACTGTTGTTCCTTTTATAAAACTGTACCAAGACATTATTCTACTATCTAGCAAGAAACATAGGGATATGATATTGAAGCTGTGATCAATTTTTTCAGAAGTGAAATTTGGGGTTAAAACATTGAATTTCAGGAATTTAAAGGATAATACCTGATGAACCAGTCAAATTCCAAACTGGTGTACAGTATATTAGTCATTTGGAAGGCATTTTTCATAAAATTTCATTGTTCATGGTGCTGGTCCTAAGCTATAGCCTACCATCCTATCCCTATGGTAAATGCATATATATGTGAATGTGATTCTTGGTATTGTACTGGCAGGCATCACACCACCTGCTGGATATTACAAGAACAATATGAGTCCACATGAAAAGATGCAGGGGAGAATGGTCGATTTTAAGAATTTACTAGTACAGTACTGTATTGTTATTTAATATTGCACTAATGTCTTTATAAAGTTTAGGCTTTTATCTGAGTAAGGAAGTGCTTGTTTAGTGACACCTGTACTGACAAGTGCTGCTGTAGCCTTACTATGTATGAGATGATAGGCTCCATTCTATGTAATAAAGGCTACCACTAGGACTCCTGCATCAATATACATGTACAGTACAGTAATATTGTGTATGTTCTCTATTTGGACAGCCGATGTATTTCATGCTGAGTAATTTTGTTCAACCAAGAAAAGTTTGAGCATTTACCAGAAAATTCAGTAAAGTTATATGAATATTGTGGGTTTAATCTATAAGATATAAGTATTTACAGGTACAGTAATAGAATATCTATATTGATATATTTGTAATGGAATTTTGGTGAAAACATTGTTCGTGTGTAAATTTTGGTTTCGTTTTGAGGTAAAAATTTATATTTTTACTGTTTTTACATAATTAAAAATTTGTATTAGACAAGACGTTTTAAAAATTTAGAATGAAAATTACTGGTTACTAGTAAATTATTGTTAGACGCTTAATGTTCACTCCCTGTAGATCTGATATTTTGTAAATATATACATATATAAAGTAAATATATATATATATAAATCTGTATTTTACAAAGATTATAAATACTTTTATTAATACTTTATTATGGTTATAGTACTGTACATTATTTTTTCTTTTGTATCTTTTGGTTTGAAAGTGATTGTGTATTACTGCCAATTGTGTTAGGAAATGAAAATGTGTGTTTCTTCACCCCCAGGCTGGTGGCATGTACTGTAGAGGTGAAGAAATGTTGACAACCAGAGTTTTTAAGACCGTGAAATATATAATTTGATATCTGAATTTACCCATATTGCCTTTCAATTAACTGTAACTAGTATAATATTGTGCAATTTAGGGAAAAATAGTTTAAAACAAATTACAAGGGAAAATGCTAGTTCTCTTGAAATAATAACAATATAAATTTAGGAAATAGTGTGACCATTCACCCTTAATGAAACTGACCAGGAAGAGTTTTATGACAGTGTAAAGTTTAATGGCTGTCCTACACAAGTAACAGAATACTCAGGATGATTTAATAATTATATTGTTTGACATGTGTTAACCCCTTCAGTACATCAGCCTTGAATTACACAGGTTTGGATGATGTCTCAAGGATAAGCTCCCACAGTATACTAATGTTTGTTGAAGAATATTTCCAAATGATGGAAATGTTTTGCCTTAGCATTTCAGACATGACTAAGTGATTGAAAGATCCTTAAACTTCCACATGGGTCACGTTTCCTTTAGCTCCTTAAGATGTGGTGTAGATGTGTCATTACATTATACTACATCCTTCTTACAGCCAGCAAATGAGACTGAATCTCTTACTTGATTGAATAAATGTTTGTTTTTTATTAGCCTTCATACTTGGGCTGATCCCTTCTCCCCCTACACACACATACCTACCTTGCCATTCCTACTGCTGTATTGGAGTCCATGTGTTAACAATAACTTTTTAATGGACCTTTGGCTGACAGGTACCATAATCATCATGTCAAAAACAGGTATATTGTTTCATCCTATCACTTCACTAGGTATATATTGGGCTCTTATTTCCAGGTGATATAACAGGCACATGTAGGTGTACAGATACAGTATGTTGATAATTTCCTGTACAGCACTGGGGCTTGGCAGTACTGAAGGGGTTAAAGTCCCATATGTTAAGGCAAGGTTGTTAGAAAACTCTTCCTATGATATGATTGAATTGTAAAAATTTATGTATAAAAGGAAAAAGTATGTAAACTGAAAAACAAGTGAACAGGTACTGTAGTTTGATAAATTTTGGGGTACATTCTCTCTCACTTTCTTTTTTTTTTCATTGTAATAAAACTCATTCATACATAATGTAGTTTTTCTTAATATTTGCAGGGTGACTAGAATAAAGAGCAACACTTGCTATCCCTTTGTCATCCAGTTTATGTTTTTTGATTGCTTAACTAGATTTATGCTTCAGGTTGCCCTTTTATACAACAAAACCCGAAGACATCTTTATGGTTTACTGATATTACTTTACAAGCCAATTACACTTTAATGCAGAATGGCCAAGTGAAGAGCAAACAGCTTCTCCCTTCATTTGCTTTCATTAAGTCACATTATTGCTGTAATTTATATGTTCTACCATAGTATTTCCCTTAAAAAGTAAGGCAGCAAATGTTTATTTCTATTTTCTGGTTTACAGCTGTTGCTCCACATGACCAAGCATGAGCAGCCTGTCTGTCCTTTATTATCACCAGTGCCATGCTCTCTGGTCATTACACAATTGAAACAAGTACAGTAATTATACTTGCCAAAAGATCTTCTGTGCTGTTGGGTGAATAGACTTCCAAAGAATGCAAATTGCTGTAATTAAACACAGTTGTATTTGGAATTTTGGACAACAGTTATAGTGAAGAAATTAAATTTGTCTAGCTGGAAAGACAGATTTTTTAATCTTCCTGTTGTCTGAGGAAGACATATCTAAGTAGTACAGCATTTTATCTTTAGTAAGTTTAATTAGTTAATGTTAAGTTTTCAATTCTAGCTTTTATTGTTTAAATATATTCGATGTACAGTATCTGTTAAGGGACTAGCTCGTGGATTTAAAGTTGGCAAATTACTGGTTTAGTCGCCAATATGTGTACAAGAGATGCTAACAGTGTGACTATGTTGATTTTTGTGTCCATACACTATAAATGCCACCTGTGCACACGTGATCCAGAAACAGTATCATGCCAAATTTGATCCCTGAATTTGTGCTTTAGAAACTGTCACTAATTCTTTTTAATAATCAAAAATAAAAAAAATCTTAATTATAATTTAAAAGTTTATTGAAAATTTGGATCTGGTTTGCTAAGTGAAATTATTTATTTGTTACAGGGGCATACACAAGGTTTGTTTAAGAGGGGGGGGATATAATTATCAGCTTCCCAAAATAATGATGAAGTACACATTATCTTTCTCATGTATACTCTACTAAGTATTGTAGTATCTTCATATGCATTTTGAGTTACTTCGTTGTTTAATGTCTAATATTGGCTTAACTCTCATAAAACTAAATTATATCTCTCATTCAGATTTCATAGTTGATATATATTATGAATCATAGCCTGGCAATATTGACTTAATGTGGTTGATAGTTAATAGATAAAGCAGCTGTTAACAATAAATAGCTTAAATTAAATACACTTTTGCTGATAAAAAACTTTATTATAAAACATACGTCAGTGTTTAAGGGCTAAGAGGTAGTAAAACGGCATTCACTGCTACCAAATATTTAAATAAGACAAACGAACATACTGTATACAACATTGTACTTTTATTGGAGAAAGTATACGTTCATACGTTAACATTAAAACATCTAGTTGTAATATGATGCACCAACAGATTCTAATACAGTATGTCAAACCAATAAGACATCATGAGATAGTGGTAAGCGGTTATATTTTATAAATTAAGGGGGGGGTGATCACTCTCTTCCCCTCCTTCAATATGCCCCTGATATACTGGAGTCATAGTAGGAATAGTTTTACATTTGAAATAATCTTGAGATCTTTAAATTGGTTTAGACTGCCCTTAATATAGCTTAATGAGCTACCATGACCAAACGTAGATTTAGAAATACTGTACTTTTTTTCACTCGTTCAAAAAATCTCTTGTTACTGTGTGGGGAAGTACTCGAGACAAAAACTTAACCAAAGTCATTCCTTTATGTATTGAGAGTGCAATTATTATTTTTTATCCCAAAAGTTTATGGTGTTGAGATGTGGTATTTGGTACAGTACAGTATGTATGTTTTCACCACCCAAAAATATTTAGTCTATTATTCAGCTCAGTGAAAGAGATTTTCTGTTGTAAAAGTACTGTACAAGTAACTGATTGTTTTTTCCTGAAAGTATGATAAAATTGGTTATAGTACTATTGTAGTATTTTAAATGAGATTCTCAAATATTTGGCTTAATTTTATATGTTTGGTAAAGAAAACTCATCTCCAATGCAAACTGAATGTTTGGGTTGGCCTCAAAAAACATATTAAAATAAATTTGTGGTTTACCTAAAGATCTGTACAGTCATCACATTTTAAAACATAGATAAAATGTTAAATATCAGTTACTTTGATAATTATGGATTCTAATATTTTACACACTATACAGAACTGTACTTGGTTTTCATGAATCTGCCACCAGCCAAATTAACTTCACCCGAGTAAATATCTAAACTGATTGAAGGTCTCTACAACAAAATTGTCCATTGTCTGTTTCTACCTTAATAGACAAATTCTTAACCACCATCCTAGTTAACTTCTAAACAAAGTTATGTTCTTATCATTTTGTCACTGCTGTTAGTTTTCTTTGATTAATTTACTGGACATAAAGCAGATGGCCTTTGACACATACTCATCAGCCTCTTCAAAACCTCTCTGGGCTTTATACTTCGGTAATTAGTGAAAACCTTGTATGTATGTGTAATTGTACATTGTGCACACATCTTAAAGTATCTCACAGTATACAGCATGTAGCCTTCACTTCTAATGTTGTATCATTGATTCTGTGGTTTTCATAATGACAAGGTTCTCCTATAACTAAAATAGGACATTAATATATTAATTTTATGTATATACAGGTAAATCAAGTTTTGATTATTTTATAAAATATCTTGCTTGAATTTTTGTATAAAATTGTTATAAATTTTGTACAAAGAAATTTTTTTTAATTTAATTTTAAATTTAGATTTTTCATTAGTGGCCTCCTCTCTCTAACAGTATAAAACCTAAATTGAAACCATATTTATTTACTGTAGAAATATTAACATTACAGTACAACTACAATAGAAGCCCAGATAATTATATTCCACATCCGAGACTAAAATATTAAGATTGTACGTATGCTAAAGGCGAGATCAGTGTTTTATGTTACAATAATGAAGATAAGGATCTGTATAACAAGAGAATGTAGGTTCTGTATCCTATTGTAAACTGAGGATATGGGGATGTGTATGTGTGAACATATGTGTGGAGTATCCCTTAACATTTCAGCTTCTTCATGTTACTTTCTAAACTTGACACTCACCTCTCCTCTACCATTTCCCCCTTTCTTACAGTTTCTGCTTTCCTTGGTATAACCTACACAAATGTGAGGGATGAGTATACAGTATATAGTATAGTTATAAATTTGTCATGTGAGTGTATTCTATAGTAAACCTGTCTTTGCACTAGAGCTTTTGTATAATACAGGGTCGACTCATTTCCTTCAGACTTATCATAATCTTTAACCATGGTGGGGAGACGTCTTGCTCTTTAACTACATATTGAGATTTAAAAAAAAAACACATTATATATCCTGCCTTATACAGTAACATTCTTAGTGTTAGTAGATATTTATGTTCATAAGTAAAAATTTGGGAATGGACAAGTTTTCAAATGCTGTACTGCAATGACACTTTACATCATAAATTATAATCAACTTTTTATGATGCTAGTATGTATCCAATAACCTATTGACATTACATGTAAAACAAAGTAAAAGATTATATAGGTGTTTAAGAATTGTGTGTCTTGTTAATATAGCTTTGTTATAGAATACCAGAGGAAATTCTGAATTTGTTTCAGAGTGGTGGCATGTAAAGTGGTCCATGTCAAAATATACTTTACACAGGTCACATAACTGTCTACTGTACAATGAAGGTTCAAATTCAGGCATAATCTGGTACTATTCTCATATCCATTACTGGGGAAATTTGAGGGAGCATGAAGGGCACACATCTTGTTTACTAGATTTAATTTTCTCCTACTTTTGGGACATCTTGCAGTTGTATTCTTTAACATGAAATCTTCAGTGTGCCCTCATGGTGTGATTATAAGTCAACAGTCTTTGTATTGCTTATGAGTTTAATCTCCAATGATATACCTATAAACATTTTTTAAGCAACTTTAAAAGTTTTTATTGAATATATTTGAAATACTGTATAAGACCAGGCAGCATTAGCAGGAAGGTTTGAAGGATTAAAATGAAGAAGAGTACTTAAGTATGGCAATTACTGTACAGTGAACCCTTGTTATTTGCAGGGGTTAGGTTCCAAGGAATGGCACGAAGAGGCAAAACTGCGAATAGCAACTAATACTACCTTAGTGCACTACTGTATACCTATACCAAACAACTGACCAGCTGCGGCAGCACTCAACCCCTATTTTAACTTGTGTAATAATTTAACTTTCTTTGTCAGGGTCATCACTGACTTCTGCCTTTTACAGTTCATTCCACTAGCATCACTAACACTAGGCAGTCTTTTAGGGACCATTTCACACAGAAACACTAAAGTTTTGAGGACAACACAAGAGATACTGCAGCGCAGGCAATGGTTGAGAGCAAACAAGGGAGAAGAGACGCTGCAGGCGTTTGGGGTGACTCGTTGCTCTGCGGGAGAGGCTCGTAAGCCAGCCACCTTCTCACCATCTGCTTACTGCAAATAGTTGAAACCGTGAATCGCAAACCCGTGAATGACAAGGGTTTACTAAACTGTACCGTACAAGATGAAAAAAAAAAATTAAATATGCTTGCTGCTCTAGTGATGAACGAATTTACTCCATTTACACGCAGCATAAGGTTTTAGATGAATCAAGATAGTTTGTGAAGTCTTGAACACATTAATTCGCTTTGCAGACATCTAATAGTAATAATTTGTATTACACTTGGACTTCCAGACCTTGCTTGATCTGATTCAACATACAACAGGCAATTTACTAAACAGTGAACTAGTCCTCTGACTGTGAGTATACAATTAACTATTTTTTAAATGAAGTAACCTTCTGAGCATACAAAATGCTACTTACTAGACAAGTAGTCCGGTGAGCATGAAATTAAGTATTGTACTAACTAGAATAGAAAGTAGTACTCTAAGCATACTTCAAGCTACTTGCCAGACCCTGAAATAATCCTCGGAGCATATAAGCTACTTACTCGGAACACACTGAGCACTATCCGTCACAGACACAAGTCTACTGTCGTGGAATACCAATTTTGTTATATAAAAAGGCAATTATTATGTATTTATATCTTCAATGTTTTTGAAACCTATTACGTATTGTATAACATTTTTAAGATACTTCAACATATGATTCATAGTTTTTGAGACATGTCTCTCTGTAACACATTTTGATACTTTTAATTGTAATAATGTCATTTTGTTTACTCAGGTTGTTGTCACATTTCTTTGACAGGGAAGTAAAGGCATTTTCATGAAATGTTTAAATTGATATGCTGTGAAAAAAAAAACAAATACAGGTATACCCATTTTAATTTAAATACAGTATGTGGTAGCACAGTATATCAACAATGAAATAATTTGTAATGATGTCCAACACTTTCTTTAACAAGATAGTACATACTGTATCTTTTCAATGAGGGAAAATTAGCAGTTTATAACAGGAAGTAACTATACCAAGTATATTGTCAGGATGATTGGTACTCTCTTGTAAGTTATCTGAATAGTTATACAAATATTTAGTTATTTATTTTCCTGTTGTCTTATCATTAGTGCAATCAGCCCATGGTTTAATGTTACTTTATATTGTTCAATAATTTCTATGCAAGTCTTCTTTCTTTATGGAAATTAAATCTGTGCATATACAGTACTATATTGCACTAAGTTTATACAGTATATATATATATATATATATATATATATATATATATATATATATATATATATATATATATATATATATATATATATATATATATATATATATATATATATATATATATATATATAGTGTCACAAATACAGATTTCTGAAGAAAATTAAGTCTTTCTATGATCATGCTATATAAAAAAGTAACATTGTAAATTTTCTTCACACTCTGTGTCACAGTGTCCCAAATACCTGGAAATGTTTAACAAATCTCATGTTTATTAAGCCAAACAGCATTACAAAGTACCAGAGAATTCTGTATAAATTGGAAATACTGTACAGTACTGGTATTTGGAAGAGAATTTACTGTTGATATTGTTTTCCTGTCTCTGTCATGAATTATTTGAAGGGAGCACAAGCATTAGGAGTGGTGTATCAAATATATGTGATCAGTAATATAAGTGGAATTAGGAAGTTTCTTCTGACCTGACATGATTCCTTATTAGATGGGTCAGACTTGAGTCACAGTAGGTTTTGCCAACTCTGGGACAAAAAGAAAGATAAGCCTTAAGACAATATCTTCTAATCTATAATAAATGTATGTGTTATATATACATTACAGTTACAGAGTATTTTGTAAATGGCCTTGAAAGCTGAGTGGAGCTTTGTATACAAAATAATTCATATATGTATTATGCTCCATTGTAACATCTTTGTTAACAATACACTGATAGTTTCACAGGCTGGTGTGTTAACACAGCTTTCTACTGTACAATTTCCATATTTAATCAAGATATACTACATTAAGTTTTTCCTACCATTCAGTTACCAGTTTATATATTGGCAACACATTGACCAAATAATTTCAGATTTGAATCATGCAGTGTGTTATGTTTTGAGCAGGTGCCAAAATATTTCAGTTTAGAATGAAGTCTGATTAAGGTTGATGGAGGCAATATTGGAGATGAATGACAAACGACACAACCTACACAGTCAAGAGAGAGAGAGAGCTTGGGAGACTGGAACTACTCCCATTCAAGAGAACTCTGTAATGTAAGGATATCAAAGGTAAGTGCTGATGTATCCTGAGAGTTTTGAGGATGTGTGGACTCATTAGTTAACCAAGAGGACAAGGAAGTGTCAGAAACACATTTGAGGGTGATTTGGGAAGTGCCTGTACTGTAATTGACTCGACTGGAATGTGTTGAAAATAAATTGATGTAGGGGAAGTACGCTACTGTAGTTGGAATATGTAGATGTTGTACTGACATTAAACAGAAGTTGGAAGTATTAGTGAGTAGTACGTCACCAAGGTCATGTGTCCAGTATTTGTTATAACCAGTAAGTACCTTTTGGGGGAGTGGGGGGTTGTTCCATGAGTCAAGTGCATTAATCGGGTATACAGGAGCCTTTCACTGTTGTCATTCTACAGTGTGCTATATGTTGACAGTGCCTCTAATGCTCTATTTGGTCTATGGGGTACACTTAAAATGCGTTTTAGTGATACAGCTGTGTTGGTAATTTCAGCTTTAACTTCAGAAACAAATTTCAAGGTACAGTACATAATAGAGTGAAATTGCACTTTACTGTATTAGTAAATATTTCTCACCCACTTGGGCCACATTCTTGAATTGCGATTGTATAGGATTGGTTAGCAGAATCAGCCACTCAGCCAACCGGCCTATTGCAGACTCCTTATTTTCTTATGTTCTTATGTACAGTACAAACAACAGGTTACCAGTATACTTGTATGAGGAGACGATGGTGTCGGGAATCCAGGAAAAAAGTCACAAGAAAAAAAAGTCATAAAAAGGCACGGAAAAACCTAACCTAACCTAAGTGCCGTGCCATCATATATATGTTGTGTTGTCAATGTGTACAAGTCATGTAACTTTTTTTCCTGTCCACCGGTGTGGGTCCATTCCATACTATATAATTATTCAGTAAAATCCCCATGCAAGTTCACATGAGTTCTGTATGTACATAGGACAAACATTGTGCAGGTATACAGACAATAACAAACATTAAATTGATTCAAATAAAGGAAACCTAATGAAAACTCTATTTTCACTGGGGGATTTAAATCACTGCCCTGTCGATATATATTTAGTGTTCATGATTATTATGTCAATATAAAGGTATCAATATGTCTGACCCATGTACAGTACGGCGACACATTGAAAGAAAAACTGGCCGGAAGAAAAATGTATAATAGGGAAAATCTCGAGAAAATGTGTAGGCTTACAGAATGCTAAAAAAAAAAAAAAAATACTACTGTCGTCTGATGTTCCCAAAAATATATATCACCCTATTTGAAGTGAACATTATTTATCGGTAAATAATATTGTATTTTATCATAAATAAAAAAATTGGAAAGCGTTTGTTGATGTCATAATCACGTGACCTGATTCAGTCCTAACTGGTGGTGGTGACTGGTGAGACGTGGCGTTGTGGATTATCTAAAAGTTCGCTAACAAGGAATATATTTTTACAAGTGTTAGGATTTATTGTAAATCTAAGAGCCACAAAGCAGTGCAGGTATAGTTGGAATTGTCTATTGTTTTCTTACTTACGTAAATAAGAGTAAATACTGTAGATTTTGGCACAAACCTTCTCTGACATCTTGGCGACAAGGTTGTCTGGGTTTTTCATATATAGTTGCTATTAGCAATTAAATATGAAAACTGCTTATGTTATTTGTAGTACAGTGCCGTAAATATATTGTATATATAGTTGCCACTTGTGAAACTAAAGTCAAGTCAAGTAATAGTTAAGAAATGTATCGCACAGCGTACCGTTCCCAAGTATGACTATGGTCTTCCTCGCCACTGATGGGCCTCAGTGGGAGACCACTCCATAAAACAATGGCGGTTATGACTTGAGTTCCGTAATGCCCAGTTAAGCCTCCCTATGGCTGAACCTATGGAGAAATGGCCCTTTTTTTAGGTATCGTTTTATACCAAACGCCAAATACTGTTTATTAAAATAATTATGTAAGTCGTTTCGGCGAATTAAGACAATGAACGTCAATTCAATTTCAATTGTTTATTCCCTGATAGAGGAAGCGGGATCCTAGTGCTGTTGTGGGGTACGTTATTTAGTTCACTCTCAGGATGGGGTGGAGAAAGGAAACTCACAATGTGCTCTCTGTATACATATATTGTACTGGATGTACAATGCAGCTTGGTGCTGGGAAGGCAGCATGGTTACAAGCGTTGAGTAGAGAGAGCTGGTTGGTGAGGGTGCTCAGAGGAGGACAGCTTGTGGGTCGCCATGCTCGCCGGCGGGAGCGAGGGCCGCCAGGTGGTGTTGCTGGCTGCGGCTGTAGCTAGAAGAAGAGAGAGGTCACCACGAGGTCAGGTCTTAATTGTAGCGGAGGTAGGCGTGGCTTAATAGTTGACCTCCGTCATGTAAGGCGGCGTTGGTTGACATAGACCACGAGGCATACACTGGGGAATTCGCGGGGTTGGCTACTCAGCGACAAATAGCGTTTGTAGGGGAGGTATCCACTACACTGTCACTAGGTACCCCCTGTACAATAACACCAGAAGCATCTGGCAAGTGTGACAAGTGTATGCATTATAAATATTCTAAAGGGGCTTACTAAAGCCTAAGGAAGGACGGATATTCCTTTAACACATAATCAATGTTATTTACATAATATCTGGCCAGTGTGGGGAGGATCATCGTGTCTCCGTGAGGGGGTCCAATGAACGTCGAAGAGGTTTCGATTCGACCAATCAACAGCGAGCACTAATGGCTCGTGACTCGTTATTTCCCGGTTTTCAAATCAGTTGTGTGTTCCCTCCAGAAAGTTGGGCGTGTGACTGAGCTGTAATTATTCTTTCTCTAACATTGAGAAACGATACACATTTGCAACAAAGGTAATGCAATAGATTATTTTGTGAAGCAGGACATTATGTACAAGACGATTCTCCAGTTGCCTACACAAATTTAAGTTACGGTAAGATATTAAAGTTTTGTTTAGGTCTGATTTGCTTGCTTCTTTGAATTTCACGGCCGTCAGCACGGTCATATACGAAGGTTATTTTATGGCCGTCTGGTTGGGTTGGGCTCGTAAAATCACGCGCGCTGTTAACTTGACAATCGGTGAGACTGGGAACTTTGCGAAGTACATTATATAATTTTTTGAGCTTCACCTAAAAATTATTATATGATTTAGGTTCGATAGGTTAGTTTGGTTCATTTTATGGGCGATAAACTATAATGTAACAGTATTTGGTTCTTTCGGAAAGTTCCCATTCTCGCCAAACGTCAAACAACGGCGCTCATGATTTTGCGCTCTATAAACACAAGGTTACCGCGTAATGTACGTATGCAAAGTCTTATTTTTTTGTATTAAATTTGTTGAGGAAACGTTCGTTGCTCGTTGCATCCCACATTTTCTCCTAATTTAAACTTAAATCTCAAGAATATATCATAGGCTGCATTACATAACACATTCTGTATGTAAAACAAAGGATTGAAACGAGGGGTGAATAATTCAGCATCTCTTACTACATGCAACAAGTTGAGCCTGAGAAAGGTAAAATTTAAGAATTTTTCAGTGCAATGCTCAGCCAAGTGTTCACTGTGTTGATCAGTGATGCATTAAATATTTGCGACGTATTCAGAGTTGCCTATCCTTCGTAAAGACTGATGTTATTACACAATCACCGTTTTGCTACTGAGTTACTGATCGTATTGCAACCAAAGTTAACTTAACGTTTCTCAACCAAGGATATGGATAAATCAAAAGTGAGAGATATAATGAAGAAAAACCTACAAAGTGTTAAATTTAGTTTCGACGGAGCTATTGTAAGAAGGAATATTTTTCTCGGTAAGTATTTGCAGAAAGTAACCAGAAAA